TGAAATTCTTTATTTACCTCAATGAATGTTGTTTAGGCCATTTCGATTTGCTTAGATCATCACACGTGCCATAAAACTGTGACAATTAACTCGATTTATCATATTTATCACATCACATCAGAAATTCGACTTATTTTAAGTTTAAAGATTACAAAAATGAATACTGAAATTCTTTATTTACCTCAATGAATGTTGTTTCGGTCATTTGGTTTTGTTTAAATCATCACACGTGCCACAAAACTGTGACAATTATCGTGATTTATCATATTTATCACATCACATCAGAAATTCGACTTATTTTAAATTTAAAAGTTACAAAAATGAATTGTGTCGCCATCTACCGGGTTCGTTCGCACTTCGAAACGAACGAAAACGGAATGCGACATTACCGATTCTATTCTATAGATTCGACACAATAAAATTTGACTGCCGAAAGTGCAAATCCATTACATTAAAAACGAATTTATAATTGAGATTCATGTTTGATTTATTAACAAATTATAAAAACGGAAATTTTGTGAAAAATATAATAAATCGAGCTGCGTTTTTGGTAGCTCGAAATTGAAGACGAACCACAGTAACTGAACGTAGCTGTACTTGTATTAGTCGATCGAAGTCCGTTCGTCTGTGTACTAGCGGTTCGATCGTGCTACGAAATGTTTGGTAAATAATTATTACAAATTTCATTCACGAACGACATAATTCAGTCCCGAAATGTGGATTTCAAGTACACGACTGAGATATCCATTGATCATCGATTTCATTGCAAGAAAATGCGTTTCCAACTTATCGTATTTTATTTCTATTTCTGTCAGGTTGTTGCTGGTGCTGTTCAGCCTTACGCCCACGTTACAAAAGACTCGTTGACAATATTTTTCCAGTAAATCCTCAGGTAAATTCTGCATCCACATTCCAATCTACGATTTTTAATTCTCAACGAAACAATTTACTTATATAATTCCTTTGTAAATTTCGATTTGGATTTAATTCCTTTAATAAAAATTGAATACTCTGTTATATTTTATAATAAATGTCTCAGGTTGTATCTTAACATTACGTATGAAATCATAAGCAAAAAAGCTAGTGAGTGAAATAGTGAGTGAATAGAGTGAGTGAATAGTGAGTGTGAATAGAGAGAAAAGCTGGAGAGTGAGAATAGTGAAAAAAGCTATTGAGATATTTATTACAGATTGACTTATTTGAATATTTCTCATGAAATGATTTTTCTATTTAGGATGGCTTGGTCAAGAATAACATGGAAAAATTAACATTTTATTCGTTAAGTAGTCCTGAAAAGTTAGACAGAATCGGAGAATATTTGTTCCAAAGGGCTTCCAGAGATATTTACAGGTAGGACTATTAAGAATTTACAAATTCAATTAGATTCTATATAATTCTCAGTAGATTAACAGTACTCTACTTAATATATTAAGAAACTACAAAGAATTATAGATTCAAGATTCTTAATCTACCAAAAATTGGTTGCATGTTCTAATAAAAGAATCTACTGAGGATTATATATAATTAATACACCTGCGACGAATGCTAATTCATGCAACCAATGTAAATACTTATTTACTAACATTAAATGCAAGTCACACTAATAATTACGTATCATTAATTACCTGGATATCTTTGTTTGTTTTTCAACTACTGGGAGAGTTAATGTTTCTTTTATTAGGAGAAGAAATGGATTCGTTGTCATTGCCATGGAAGCAATGGACCAACTGTTGCAAGCGTGCCATGCTCAGACTCTGAATTTATTCGTTGAGAGTTTTTTAAAAATGATACAAAAATTGTTGGAATCCACAGACCCACAGTTACAAATATTAGCCACGCAATCTGTAAGTTTCAACAGACGATCTAATCTGTGGCTACGAAAAATATTGGCATACCTTAAGTCTCGATCATCTAAGAAATGAAGACGTACAGTCGAATGACGTAGGCCGATATTTTTGGCAAATTTAATAGCGGATATTCGGTTTCATCGCTATCGGAATCTACCTCCATACCAAAATTAAACGCAAACGCTTCTTATCGAATATGTCAATACTCTTTGTAGACGCTATAGCGTTGGTCTTCTATTGAATTAATTCTATTATGACGATTTTGTTTGGTGTTAATTTATAAGTTTTTCTTGTACGAAAGAATAATCTTATTTTTGGCATCTTTCAATTCAGTTGAACAAAGTGCTGGCTTCTTCTAGTTTGTCCGGTTTGCCAACATCGAGCAGGATACGCCGTCTTATCACACACGTTACGATTTCTTTGTATCAAAATACTCTGCCATGTGCCACTCGAACCACAATGACCCTGCAATTCGTAAACAAATACGGCTTGCTGGAATTCAAGGATTGCAGGCATGATTTTTACTTATTAATTACAGATTCTTATAAGTCTCGCTGAAATAATTTTATTAGAATGCAGTAATTTTGTTCTTGTAATTTAGGGTGTCGTAAGGAAAACTCTTTCTGATGATCTGGTAGAGAACATTTGGGAACCTGTTCACATGGACAAGATCGTTCCTTCGTTGTTATATAACATGCAGAATTCAAGGTGATGAATAGAAACCAGTGACTTACATTAATTTTTATTTAGACACACTTTAAAATAATAACTGTTTTAATATTGGATCAAACTGACTAATCTGTATGTTAATAATATAATCTTAATAGGTATTCTAGCAAGGAGGATCCAACACCAGATAGCCCAACGGAGGAACGATCTGACCCACCGCAAGTCGCTGAAACTTGCATGCGTGAGCTTATCGGACGCGCGTCATTCGGTCATATCAGATGCGTTATCAGGCCTGTTTTAAGGTTTGTTAAAATTACAAACTTACAAAAGAAACTTTAATAAAGAAAGAAATATTCACAGGCATTTAGATAACCATCAGCTGTGGGTTCCTAATTACTTCGCAATTCATACATTTAGGATAATTATGTTCTCCATTCAGGTGAGCCGGAAGTAAAATGATTATTCTAACTTATTGGTTTATATTTACGACGTGAAAATTTGTGTCCAGTCGCAGTATTCGTACACTGTCGTGGAAGCATTAATGACGCATCTCGACGGACATTCAAAGTCGTCACCGAAAATTCGTACGAGCATCGCGGATACTTTATCAAAAATCATTTCCATCGCAGCCGGCGAGAGCGTTGGTACGTTTTAAGAATTATCAAACCAGTAAAAATGACTGGCTTTAAATGCAGAGGTGCATTGTATAAAAAAAGTCGATAGTTTTAGGAAGATAATAAAATGAAAGCTAAATTAACTAATGTATTTGTTTTAAAGGGCCATCTGTTTTGGAAATAATCAATTCTCTGCTGTCTCATCTGAGAGTCAGCGTAACGAGGAATCAATCGTCCAGTAGCGACGAACAGTTGTACCAAGAGGCACTTATAAACGCCCTCGGAGAGTTTGCGAATCATCTGCCGGATTATCAGAAGATCGAAATTATGATGTTCATAATGAGCAAAGTTCCATACAGTCAACCAGATCGCTTGGTCTCCGTTGGGAAAGGAGACGTGTTACTCCAAAGCATTCTCTTAAAGTCACTTTTAAAAGTAATTACATATTATTAAGAAATATAAGTGAAACAATGAACGTTGGTCGCCTAATACGCTCGTATCAATGTTCGATTCCAGGTCGGCACTAAGTATCAAACCATACATTTAAATACCACGTTCCCTCCAAGCTTTTTGGAGCCGCTGTTGAGAATGTCGCTCGCGGCAGACGCCGAGATGCGACTTTTAGTACAACAAATCTTTCATACTCTGATCGACAGGCATCAGAATATCACAAAACTCGCGAAACCTACGTAAGTTAGTTTTCTAACGCGCGCATTTTAAATGAGAAAGTGAACGATCGTGAATGTAATTTTGTTGTATTTAATTGAAACAGAGTAAACGTTGCACAACTTGATCTGACCATCGAGAAGGCATCTAGACCAGACGTGATCTTCATACGGAAACACGGCCCTGAAATTTACTTAGCGTTGTACGAGTCGCTAGAATTGGCAAGTAACAAGGTGGAAAACGTGGAGTCTATATATACGACGTTGGCATTGCTCGCCGTCGAATTGGCTTCGGAGGAGACCGTCTTGGAGCTGCTAAGATTAGTTCTGAGTCTTCAAGATTTGGCTTTAACAAGTGGTCAGATCAGTATTTCCCTCAAATACAATTTGCACTCGATTGTCATCAGTCTACTCGTGTTAATATCGTACGTTTGTAACATCACATCTCTAATGGATTACGCAATCAAAGTAAGTTATTGATCATTTTGTTGATGTATACTATTCAAAAAATGAAAATCTGTAGATAGAATTTCCAGAACGTAGAAGCTTCAAGCTTTAATTTTAAAGAGAAATCGTCATCCTATGATAATTTATCGCATCTTTCAAACAACACAAAGTCCTTAATTTGTTTAAATATTCTAATGTTCTTTTTTACATTCGTAGATCGTAGAAATACGCCGGAAAGAAGCGCCACACCTTTTACCTGATTTACAATCTCAGTATGATTCCGGATTGTCTGCTAGATTGGCACCGACTCTGCTGGTCGATCAAACTGTCTTAAGCGAATGTTTGAAAGGAGCTGGTCTCGACAGTGGAAAACTGCAACAAGGGTCTGGTTATAGCAGCATTTCGCTACAACATCGGTAATACATATTTGTAATTCTCATAATCATATGATTTCATTTATAATCTCAATCGTTGTTTTAAACAATGATACTTTTAGGCATTCGTGGGTCGATAGTACCGGACGAAACTCGCTGGCCGACATTAATTCTGGCGCTACGGAATTAGACAGCGGTGGTTCATCCCCCGGTGTACAAAAGGTATCTACTTTATATTACTCCATTTGTAACTCTTTATTAACAGTGCCACGCGGTTTTATAACGACTTCCCCGTCAGGCCGAGCGCGCTGGTATTGTAGTACAGCAATGCGAAGCGCAATACTAGCAAATTAGAATTTACTCGATTGCAAATGTTTAAACATATTAGGGCCATTGCTTCTTATCGCAGAATGGCAGAAAAATAGCAAGAAATTTGACCAAACAAGTCGTAACATTTTGTGATACTTGCGAGGGACAACCATTTTTATGTTTACCTTGTTTTAATAGAATCCATTAAAGTTTTCTGAAAAAATGTTCAAGTACATTAATAATAAAATCCAGCATTAAATAAAAATTAAGTGGACTTTACATAAATTTTAGATAACAACTTAAAACAATGTTAATTGTTTTCCTTTTCAGAAACTGCCTGGTGAAGAATTAACTTTCGAGAGCATGAAACGAATTCTAACAGAGAATAATAACAATCACGTGATAGAAGAAGAGAAACGGTTACAGTTATCGCACTTATTTAGAAACGCACCATTCCAAGATTTGGTATCAAAGACACAGCCAAAGGTACACATTTTACTAATTTTTGTTACAATTTCTACTGGTTCACTATAAATTAGTGATAGAAAGGAAGATAATGAGTAAATAATTTTACAGCATGATGTTCTCCAAAGCAAATTATCAGAAATATTCAATACACTGTCCGTCGATCCACGGAACGCCGCTCAACCCGGCGTGCCGCCAATGGATGCTAAACCGACTCAAACACCAGCCTATGAAATTCATTTCCCAGAATTGTTTGTTTATTAACTTAATAAGTATTTAGTGCTGGCACTTTTATTACGTTAAACACTTATCGCCAATTAATAATTAAGTTAATTTCAACGCCTTTGGTTGGAATAACGTGGACAAATATTTTTAGCGCATTTTGATATGCTTATACGTGGTGCAATAATGTTTATCTAGCTCCGAATAATAAGCTCCGTATGTATACGTACATATACATATTTTGTCATGTTTGTAAAATACTTATTTATTTCTAGTGATGTGAATTATTTCACTGTTCATAAATTATTCTTGTAAAAATATTTTAACTCATAAACTGGTGATGCGCAAGTTGTTCAATTCATACAGAAAATAATATATATAAACAGCTCGCTGTATTAATTGTATTAACGATCTGTGATATATTGGGTTGTCAAGAAAATAATTTCGGTTTTCACAAATCCTCTATTTAACAAACTTCGAATTTGCCGGATGTTTTAATTCGGATTTTCTTACATCCTTTTTATTCTGTTACTAATTATGCATGTAGTTTGTTATCAATTCTGTCACATGTATAATAAATATATGTGTATAATGTAAATGATGAAAAGGTCAGAAAATAGAATAGAACAGAATGAGTTCCTGTAGTCACATTCTATTTAACGTAGAGTTATTAAAACCGGAATTGCCTTCTTCCCCGAATATATTTGTCAATGTGTCTTTAAACAAATTGCTTTGCACACCGCTAATGCAACGTACGAGAACGTTTCGAAAGAACGTGGAAATAAATGAAAAGAATGAATATGGAAATTGAAATGTTTGTTTGAAAGTTGTTTGAACCGGTCTACATGTACATAAACGTAAAAGGGTATGAATTGGAACGATCACAAATGTTATAATTGTGGGCTAATAATAAAGATATTCATATACTTGAAGACAAGACGATTTTTTATTGAATTTTCATGTGTAAAGGTCCACACTGTTACATTACCAGTAGAATTATTTGTTTTTGCGTTATTTGAAAAATTTTGTACAAAATACCCAGGTGAGATTGTTTTTACGAAGTACTAAGTAATCGGGATGAACACAGATATCGGATTACATGCCAGATGCCTTGAGATCCGTTGAATTTAATTACTCACAACACAGGAATGCATTCAGCTTTGAAGAAAGTTGACAAAGTTAAGTTTCGTCGAAAGGTAAGAGTGAAAGGCGTCCTATATTCCACGTGATTTTGATGACTTTTGTACAATCGTAGCTTTGTGTTATAATAGAATTGTGCAACGGTGGAACGAAGAATTGTAATATCGAATTTTTCTTTTTTTCTTATGAGCAATCAAGTCAGGATTAGTACGGGAGGCATATTATTCATGCGATAACTACTTAACGTAATGCAATTTCAAGCATTTAATTATCCGTGGTCTGATCTGATGTGTATAGTTGATTTGGTACACCCTGGGAAACTCTTTAAGGCTCCACCTTGAGTAATTCCACGTCGAAGACGAGGACAGCGTTCGGAGGAATAGTGTGTCTATGTCAAGGACGATATCGTAATTCGAAATAGAAAATCATTATCTAAAGTATTTCATAAACTGAAATGCGGCGTAATAAAATTATAAAATTTCTATAGAAGAAAATCGATAAAAATGTACTTATAATAATCCATATCTATTCTTCTATATTTAAAAATCCAATAATCTTCTTCCTTTTACCATCGAAGGAAAAGAGAATATTATTAATAACGTCTAAATATAAATTTGAAAAAGACGATCAGCGTCCAATAAATACA